AAAACAACATTACCAGCAGTTTCAGAGGATGTGGGACTCACTTCTTGAACATTTCTAAATAATTTTCCACCTCCTCCATGCCTCTATTATTGCAACTGAAACTAAGCAACAATAATTAGAGAGACAATCAAGAAGCAGTGTGGCAACAAAGCCAACGGGCAGGTTCAGGCAAAGTACTCTTCTTCAGGAGCCCACTGTCCAAGCCTTTCAGGTGGGAGGGTGAGCAGGAAAGGGGCGGACAGGCCTTTGGGCGGGGGGTGGACTCCAAGATGAAGCTCCAACCTACGCCTCACTGTCCAGAGCCACACACACACACACACACACACACACACACACGCCTCCTCCCTGGCCAAGTGACCTATATGTGTGCTCTCAACCTTGAAACCAGAAGGCACTCTCCTTCTAGTTCTTTCTATAGAACTACCTGATCTTGAATGCATGAAACACATAAGAAATCATCTATTTGGCAAGACTGTTTTTGATTGGTATGTGGGACATTTAGAAAGGAGCAGGTATGAGCCTTAAGATCCCATAGACTGACCCATTTATCAGTATAACCCAGACCAGCAAGAGCTATCTAACTCACAATTTCTCCTCTAAAGGAAACATTTGTATTTGGCCAGAAGTCAATATATGGGTTGAGAGATCATCAATCTTTAATCGAAAAATTAAAGAGACATAAACAGGTGACTACTACAATTGGTCAAAATCTCACTCCAACCCCAGTCAGACTGAATATATATTTTCCCCATGCTGAAAGTATCAGAGTGAGAAAAACAGTCACTTGATTTGTTCGAGGCCATAAAAAAAAAAAAAAGAGTTAATCTCAGTCAAGTAAATAAAGAAACCAACATCCCACATGAACAGGCAGGTCCATAATACACAAATAGGCAAAAGAAATTTTTTTCAACCTAGCTGGTGATCAATAGATTTAATGAGGTGCCATTTTGTAACCATTAGGTTGGTTTAAAAAAAAAAAAAAAGCTTTCAAATGCAAATCCTCACCAGTGGCAGAGCCACAGTGATACTCAAGTGTGTAACCCCATACATGGCCAGGAACAGGGTAAATTGGTACAGCCCTTTTGGAGAGCAAATTGGCACCATGCATCAAGAATTCTAAAAATGTTTATCCCCTCTGACATGTTAATATCACCCCTGGAACTCTACCTTAAAGACCACAAAATGTGTAATTATGGTAACCTTATGTTCCAGATTTTCTAAGAAAACCCTGACTTCATAATTGTATTCTTTTCCATAAAAACAAATCACTAAGTGTATAACTAAATTCGAGAACTATGAAAGACATCAATATCACTGAAGAACAAGGAAAATTGGTTTGGCATCTGGTCAAACATGTACAAAAGAGTGTTCTTGTTTCTGTTTGGGATGGAAAGCTGAAGACAAAAACTCACTCACTGAATATTAACTTTTGCCACATGGAACCTGGTTCAGTCTATTATTCCCTCAACAGCTGCTGAGCTGCTTCTATTGGGTACCAGGCCCCACGTTTGTTCTGGAAGCACAAAGATGAAACGGCCCATCTCCCCTGCACACAGTAGGCTCCCACTCATCGGGCTCCCGCTCACCATCCCACAGCAGCAACCGTGCCCACCACCGCCCAGGACTCATTTCATCTTTGGATGGCGGAAGTCGTGCCCTGGCTAAGATAAGATCTCCACGCCTTCACAGAGAAGCATACTTCTTAAAGGCCAATTCTCCCTCGTGTCCACACGAGGGATAAGTCTGAAGCTCATAAAAAGCGAGAGGAGTAGAAACTGTGTTTGAGAAGTAAAGGCCATAAATGGCACTGTAGGTTCGGAGATCTTAAGAACCTACGCTCAGAAATTTGGTGATCTTGTCAGAGTTGTGATGCAGAATCATCACCACTAACACTTCCAATGTCACTACCGATGGCCCTGCCCATCTCTACCTCGCAGCCTGTCTGTCCTAAGAGAGGTGGACGACACATGCGCACCCTCTGGGGCAGCAATTCCTGGGGTCAGAACCTTTTGAGAAGCGAGCTAAGGAACCTCCAAATAGGCACATTCACAAAACCTTGCCCATACAACTTCAGAAGGGCTCCAGAAACCCATGACGAGGCAGTCTACGGGTTAAAAATATCGGCTCAAGTTCAGAAGTCACCAAGGGGAGTGGTCACGGAGTCTTTTCTTGGGCAAGGTACCCTGTTAAGGCAAAAATACCTCTTCCTTCTGCAAAAAGAACTGTGAAGTCCAGAAGAATGGTGACCTGAGAAGATTATATGAGTCTTTAAAAAAAAAAAAAAAATCCCAATTTTTTCACAGCATTTAAAAAGACACTGGGGGGGGGGCACAAAGGTCAACCAGCCACAAGCAGTAGGAACATCTTTCTTCAAATGTCAATTAAGTTTCTAGAAAATCACTAATTCCACATTTTTCAAAGATAATTAAGCTTGAAAAGGATTCGGGTCGCAGTCCAGTCTGTCCCGCCACACAGGCGGTGCGAAGCACGTTGTACCTCTCTAGGGGGTTAGGAACCTCTGATTTAACAATTTGGTATTACAAGGGAGTGTCTACAGGAGGAAGGGCTTCCGAATTCAACGGTGCAGTCACCGGATTGATGAACACCAAAGAGTCCGCGGTCAAGAAAGGCTGTTGTGCTGGTTTTTGAAATTCTCTGTAAGGGAACAGGAAAACTCTAAAACTCATCCTCTTTCTTTAGCATATTATAAATGAGCTCTGTTCCAAAAGTTTTTTAGGCCAAAATGGCAGGCAGGAAATCACAATCATCTCCCCAAAGACACAGGGTTCAGAAGGTCCTAGGCTACCTCACGGCACAACAGAGGTTCTAGCTTCGGAGGGAGTGGCTGGGCAGGCGTTCCATGTGTTTGAGGAGTCTGTAGCACGCAGCTGCTTTTGAAATGTGTTATACGAATAGCTGTCTTATGCCTCGAGGTAGATTCACTGTAAAACCTAACGGACAGCTGTGGAGACTAAGGGAAACCCTAAAGAACTGAGAAACTTATTCTTCATAGGACCATCTTAAGCTATTAGGTACTTTCTGTGTGGTGAATGCTGAGTAGGGGGCCTTTCTCAATTCAACCTTCTTAGTTCCTCCAAAATACAAAGAAGATGACATTTTTAACTGTATAAGGGGGAAGAATAAACTTCTTTCTCATCTTTATGTGTGGTCAGCAGAATATCAGCCCCCAAAGATGTCCATGACCTAATCTCCAGAACTCTATGTTACCCTGTGTGGCCAAAGTGGGAATACCCCTGCAGAGCTAAGGTTGTTTCGCTGGATCATCCTGGTGGGTCCACTGTAATCACAAGGGTCCTAATAAGAAGCAGCAGAGGTCAGAGAGAAACAGAAGGGGGTACCTGCTGGCTTTGAAGATGGAAGGTGGCCCAGCCACAGAATTAAGGTGGCCTCTAGAAGGTGAAAAAGGCAAGGAAATGGATACTCCCCTAGAACCCCCAAAAGTAACGCAGCCCTGCAAACACCTTAAGCCCAGTGAGACCACATTTGGACTCCTAACCTCCAAAACTATACGATCATAAATTTATATGCTGTTTTGAGCCACTGAGTTTGTGCTAATCTGTTACAGCTGCCTTGGGACGCGAATGCACCCGCTTCTATTTACCCCTTCCAAGTACAAATTCATGTCGTGCCTGTTGGCAAAGCAGTCACTGTATTAAAAGCAACCAGACCAAGAGCTTCCTGCCTCGCCTGGTGGGTACAAACACTAGCAGAGGGCAAGAAGAAAGTGTGGCAGGACCCTGGGGTCGACAGATTAAATGGCAAGAGGAGACAGACAAAATAGGCAAAGCTGGACGCGGCTTCTCCTGTGCAGAAAGAGGTAGGGAGGGGATGAACACCCTCTGGGACCAGCCCGGAGGTGTTTTATTTTGTTGGTGGTGGTTTTTTTTCAATCACAGAAGGAAAGCACAGAGGCCTTTACTTGGCAGGTAACTAGGGGACAGCTGAGGGTGGCCATCCCTAAGGCGCTCTGCACTTCAGGCTGCCAGTGGGTCTTGAGGGCAGCGGCACACTCCCCGGTGCACAGCTCAGGGTCAAGTTGCAGGTCACAAAGCCACCTCTTCCCCGTCCACAGCTCCACAATGACTTACTTGTGCATGAAAAGAAGAACTAAGACCTGCCTCCGTGAATACGCCAGGAAGGGATCCACGGAGCCACACCAGCACGTTAAACTCTGCTGTAGCCTAGGCTGCTCCCAACCCGCAGAAGGTCACCCCTTGTTCGAGCTGCCGTTCTCAAACTCCTCACGAACACAATGTTAATAAATTAACTAAAAGCATTTCAAAATAACCTTTGGCGAGCCCTGCAGTTTTGAGCGCTTGGAGGGACGAACGTCCTGGCTGACGGCCACCAGTTTTGGGGATAAGGTGAGCAGGACGCGGGGTTCGGGAACTGTCAAGTGGGACGCTCTGCAGGGTGATGAGCACCCGCGGGAACGCAAACTTGGGTGTCCCCGACGCGTGGCCGGGCGGTGGCGGGGGGGGGGGGCCGGAACCGCTCGCCGGGGAGACGGCGGCCGGCAACGGGGCCAGCGCCCGCCCGACGGCGCCCGGGTGCCCACAGCTCAGCCGCCGCCCCGCCGCCGGGGAAGCCCGTGCGCTTCGCGGTGGCCCGCCGTGCGTGCTCCTGGCTCACAAACAAAGACGCGGACCCGGCACACAACTTGCAGACCCCACCGAGGCCCGAAACTAGGGGGCCGCGGACGGAGCCGCAGGGCGCTCGGGCGGCACCGCGCGACCCCCGGCCCCCGCCCCGTCCGGCCCCCGGCCCGCGGCCCCGATCCCCGCCGCCCCGGTTCCCGGCCCCCCGGTCCCCGCCGACCCCGGCCCCGGCCCCCGGCCCCAGCCGGCCGCCCTGGGCTCGCGTCCCGCACCGCCGGCCCCGCGAAACGCCAGTCGCCCGGGCCAGACAGGCGCCCGGGCGGACACGGCAGGAAGCGCGGGAGGGGGCGCCCGCACCGCACCGCCGCGGGCCGTACTGACCGTAGCTGTCGTCCTCCTCCATGGTGCCGGCGCCGGGCTGTGCGCCGGGTCCCGCCGCTCGCCCCTCACGTCCCGCCGCGCCTGGCCCCGCGCGCCTCCGAGCCCCGCCCCCGGCCCCAGCCGCCGCCGCCTCCGCCTCCGCCGCTGCCGGCCCCTCACCACCCGCGG